TTCTTGAGATGACCTTTTGTTCTACAGGAGCAGATGATTGTGTTGCTGCTGAGTAGCAGGTGAAGGTGGAGCTGGTAGAGCAAGGAAACCATCACCAAAAGGATTTGGTGAATAATGTTGTTGTTGATATGGTGAGTAGTTGTTATTATATGGACTTTGATTATTATTATTCATCATCATCATTCGTTGTTGTTGCATTGCCATTTGAACATTGGTCGGTGGAGCCATGTTATTCGACATTGCGAAAGGATCTTGTTGCATCCCGAACGGGTTCGGGTTCGATGATGCTAATTCTCCGGGGTTAGCTGTAGCTCCAAATCCGTAACCAGCGTTTGTTAATTGGATCTGTCTTCGCGCTGTATCGTCTTCGTAGAGACTGTCTAGTAGAAGATTGTCAAATCCTCCACCCTGTAAAACAGAGAGATACCATGTGAGTATGGAGAAGTAGAAAGTTTTTCGAGTTCGAATTTCGAATTGAGAAACTTACGAGTTTGGTTTGTACCGCGGGACGAGGATTGTTGTTGTTCTGTGGTGTGACTAATGCAAGTTCCCAACCACTTCCTCCAGCTTCTATTAAGCTTAGACTATTAGATGGGCCTGAAGTTTCATGTCCTGCAAAAGAAAATGTTCATTGATTTTTTATATGTTTGAGAAAGTCTAGATCTTACTTAATGGGTTTGTTCTTTTTTACTCTACCTGGTGGATATATCGCGAGAGCGAAGGCGTTACTTTGCTCTATCTCCGCGGCTTTCGGGTTAATTTCATTCAGACCCTGCACCAATCCAAGGGAAAAGGGTCAATAGGTTTTGAGGTTTACAATGTGTATAGAAATATTGAAGAAGACTCACCAGTAAGTCATCGGTGTCTATCAATGGCGAAGGTTTAACTTCTTCCTCTTCTTTCTCCTCCTTAGGCTCTTCTTCTTCTTCTTCGATAAGCGGCTGATCGCTTTCCATGTTTTCGTTTTGATCTTCTGCTTCCGCAGGTTCTTCAGGCTGTTCTGCTTCTTTTTCTTCCTCTTCCTCTTCTTTTTCCTGGTACTCCTGTTGATACAAATAGAACAAGACTTCAAATCCTAAGAAGACATGCATTGATCATCAACATTAAATGAAACCAAGAACTGAGAATTTGATGAGATGAAATTCCTTTTTTACCAGTTTTTTCTGTACAGAACCACTCTGAGGCGCTTCTTTAATGTACTCTTCCATTGTCGCGAGAAACGATGGAGGAGGCTGAAACCGGTTTTTTACATAAGTGACAACATCTTTGACAATAACTAAACCCGATCCGAAAAGTTAAGAACCAAACCTGTCTTAAGGTTGGGAACTGAAAGTTCCTCGCGAGCTCTAGTCCTTTGCAGTAATCATAAAACTCAGCCAGATTTTCAGCCTATGCAAAGAAAAAACATCAACAAACAAAGCGTAAATATATGCGAAAAAACCGCGGGAATCAGATGAGATAAGCGTTGGTTGCTTCACCTGTTGACCAGCACGTTTGTATATGTTTAGAGCTTTCACTGCATCATGTCTTGTCATCTCAAAGAACTACAGAGTCACAGAGAAATATACAATCTTTAAAACAGAGTACGCAGAGCGAGCTAAAGAGCGAAAGGAAATGAAACATACCATGTCTACAAGATCAATGATTCCATCATTGATTGCACAATAGATTTTGAAGCTTTCTTTAAGCACCAAAGCAAGAGCGTATTGGATCAGATAGTTGCTATAGGCTGCTCCTTCAGGCTGCAAAGCTGAAAAACCAAATAAGAAGAAAATCTTCTCCAAGTGTAACTACAAAAAGTTTAGAGTTATCTTTGTGAGTTTGCATATAACTTTACTTGACATCCGATAAGCCGATAAAGAAGTTGTTGCAATGCAGGTAACTGTTCTAACAGATCTTCACCAGACAACATCCTTGTTCTATGCGTCTACAAAAAACCAATGAAAACACACACAAAACTATGGGAAGGAAAAAAAGAACAATTCTGATAAAAAATTTGAAACTGTTTCTTCATTATGAGAAGAGGACTAACCTTGGAAGCTGCACCTGAGGCTTTTGGCAAACGCTCTGCCTCGATGTCATACTTTAATACTCGATAACATTCAAGCCGCTCTTCTAGAAAGAGCGCGTATGTTCTAACCCAAGCAGAACAGTCCCAGGCTGCATAAAGCAACAAGAACTTGAACAAATGCACACATAC